GTCGGAATTTCTCTTGTGCGAGAAAAAAGTTGAAATTTGTCGAACGGTGTAATCACGATAGTTATAATTATCGGCTATATTTCCGTCACTAATAAATATTGATGTCAAAACACTTCATTGTTCCATCAAGATAGTATCACCTGGTGGATTTCCTGAAATGTCATCTGATTTTTCGCCAGTAATAACTTATTTTGTCGGCCTTTTTGAAATGAAAACTATTTGTATGAGTCAAATTATTGGCGCTAAATGAATTCAAATGGTTTGAGAAAATGTCACTGGGAAATAAAGCTTCGTCTTTTTCTAAATCCAATATTAACAGAACTTAATAGCAAGCCTATCAAAAATTACTCATCACAAGTGATGAAATCGTATGAAATAAGCGGAGTTTTGTTGGTTTGCAAATATTTATAGAAGATATCAACAAGTTGCAGCAATATTGTCAACCTATTAATTATTAATAAAGAGCAACCAGACTATTATTTATCAACCACACGACTGTTATTAGTGACGTTGCTTTTAGAAACATATCTGACGTTTATTTTAAATCACGCTTGTGATTATTGTTTTTCCTTCATTATATTCCCATTGTTTGGTCTATTTTTTATCTGCGTTTATTCCATTCGAATATTTCAATCTTTTTTGAACGAAATGTGTCTCAACAATTCGTACAAATTTTTTTTTTCAAACTAACCATCGCTTGATTATTTTTATCATAAAAAATCTCAATAAATAAAAAAAATTCAAATGGTTCGACACTCGCAAAAAAATTCATTGAAATCATGATGAATCACGGTGAAGATTAATATAGATGAAAAAAATATCTTTCGATCCAAAGTCATTTAACTGCCTTGAATTTCGGCGAGTCACTCATGTGATTGATGTACATTGTACAATCAATGCCCAGTTTCATATATAATAATATGAATTGTTGTTACCGTACATTGTTGATTGTTGTCTATCATTTTCGCTTGACAAGTGATCAGCGGTCGATTGAATTGACCTGCGTCGTTTGGAACAATTAAAATTATGGCATCAAGTGATACAGATCATTGATGCAAGCCTTACTCATTGACTATCGTTTCATTCATTAAAATTTACATTTAGAAAATGGCAAAACCAACTGGCCAAAACGAAACGTCCGTCTTTATTGGCCGCAATTGTCGCGACATTCTGGAGAGAGTACATATCGTATGCATTTGTTTGTGCATTCAGTGATCTTATTGCTCGACTGGGTCAGCCATTGCTCTTGGGAAAATTATTGCGGTTCTTTCGGTAATTATAATTGAAAGAAACGTGAAATTATTTCAGTTTTGACGTAATTATTGAGCATTGAATCTCATATTTACAGCGATGGTTCAGACATAACACAACAAGATGCCATGAAATATGCCGGTTTACTTGTGCTCTTCAACTGCCTGTATGCACTCGGTTCAAATCAGTTTTTCATGTTGGGATATCACAATGGAATGAAAATTCGAGTGGCTGTTTGTAGTATTATTTATCGTAAGGTAAAAATGCCATCAAATTTCAAATCATAGACTTTATCGTCAATAACTTCCCTATACTTCATTGTGTTGTTTGTAAACGGCATTAGAAAATTCTAATTTTCTTTCCGTTCAAAGGCCCTTCGACTGTCGCAAACCGCACTGGGCGAAACATCGCCAGGCAAAGTGGTGAATCTACTATCGAATGATGTAGGTCGTTTCGAATGGGTGTCGCTGTGTTTGAATTCAATGTGGATCGCTCCATTGCTCTCATTCATCGTTGCTTGTTTACTATGGATCGAAATTGGAGCAGCCGGTTTAATTGGCATAGCTATAATTTTTACTGTCGTACCCATTCAAAGTGAGTTTTTTTCGAAGTTTATTCAATGCCAAATCGTTTATGAATTTTCAATGGATTTTAGGTTATACTGGGAAATTATCGTCGAAATTTCGATTGAAAACCGCTTTGCGAACCGATCAACGCATTCGATTCATGGACGAAATAATAAACGGTGTGCAAGTGATCAAAATATATGCATGGGAAAAACCGTTTTCCAATCTCGTTTCAACTGCCCGTAAAATGGAACTGAATATCATTCGCAAAACATCTTTTGTTCGTGGCTTGTACATGACGTTCAACCTGTTCACCACTCGAGCTGCCGTTTTTTGCACAATGTTAGCAATCGCTCTGCTTTACGGATCGGATCAAATTACTGCCGACAAAGTATTTGTGATTTCATCATATTTCAGTATCATTTCGATGACAATGGGTCAGATATTTGTTCGCGGTGTTGCCGAGATTGCAGAGGCTCTTGTGGCACTGAAACGGTTGCAAACCTTTTTGGAATTGGATGAAAAGCAAACGAAGGAAATAAGCGACGGTGTAAATGGATTTAGGAGAACCAACGGAAATATTATCGACAAAATTGAGGTATGACTTTTGTGGGACATTTTTTGATTTTTCTGTTGTTTCTTTCACTCTTGGTTGAAAGAATTTCATATGAACATGTCAAAATCTGTAAAAATGTCATTCCTTTTTTACCCAACAAAATAGATGGAATTCACGTCTGAAAACTCAACTCCACCGAACGTAGCTGTTTCAATGAGAAATGTCACAGCCATTTGGACAGTGCCTTCCATTGACGACGCGACAAAGAAAAAGAACGTTGAGAAGGCTGAATTGCCAGATGAGATCACTTCATTGATAAAATCACCCACTTTGGATAATTTCAGTGTTGATTTTCCAAAAGGCAAACTAATTGGAATAATCGGACCAGTTGGATCCGGCAAATCCAGTTTATTACAAGTTCTTCTACGTGAATTGTCATTGGAATCGGGCTCACTTCACATAAATGGATCGGTTTCATACGCCAGTCAAGAGCCATGGGTTTTTGCTGCCTCTGTGCGGCAGAACATTCTATTTGGCAACGAGTATGATCAAGATCGTTATAATGCCGTTGTGAAAAGTTGTGCTTTAGAAACTGATTTCAATCAATTTGAAAATGGTGACCGAACGATTGTTGGTGAAAAGGGCTCGTTGAGTGGTGGCCAGAAAGCACGTATCAAGTGAGTACAATAAATTTCGATGTTGTTTCAATCTCAATTTGATTGTCATTTTTCTTTTTAAACGCAAAATTTGTTTCAATTTCGAAACCAACAGTTTGGCGCGGGCTTGTTATCGAAATGCTGATATCTACCTGTTTGACGATCCGTTGAGTGCGGTTGATGCTCATGTTGGTACCCACATATTCAACAAATGTCTTGGTCTCAATGGCCGCTTGGCAAGACAACAAAGAGCGACACGAATTTTGGTCACACATCAAGTGCATTTCCTAAAAGAGGCTGATTGGCTTGTGGTTTTGAATGATGTAAGATTTTGATTCTTCAATCTATTTTTTCTTTCTTGTCCATTCCAAGTTGTTGTTGGCATAAATTAATCAATAGCTCTTCTCTCATTTCAAACGCTTAGGGAAAAATCGAAATTCAAGGATCACCCACTGACTTAGCTCAAAGTGGTGTCGACTTTGCCAAACTCGTTGGAATAGAAGAAGAATCGTCCAATGAAGAAAATATTTCAGCTGTCAGCCGGTCAAGGAAGTCTTCAATACTAAGCACATCATCGTCCGGCAAATCTTCGATACATGAGTCCGAACAGTTAAATGAGCATGATGAAGAAGAACCAAAAGACGAAGGTGTCCAAATGGAAGAAAGTTCGAAGGGAAAAGTTAAAGGATCTGTATCGGCAAGTTACTTCAAGGCCGGTGCTAATTGTTTGGTTTTATTTGTGCTCGGTTTCTCATTTGTATTTGTTCAAATTCTGGGCAGCGGTGCTGACTACTGGGTATCTGTTTGGTAAGCAAATCCTTGATTTTCAATTTGAAATGGGAAGCAACTAAATTGTATTTCAATCAATTGAATTTTATTGAATTTCATTTTGAATCTAAATTTTAGGACTAAACAAGAAGAAATGCGTGCAACAAATAATAATCAATATTTAACTAACGAACTGAACAATACTAGCACAAGACAATTGGTTGACAAATCAAATGTTTCTGATACCAAATCAACTGATTCCTTCAAGCCGGAATCGTTGTTTATTCTAAGTACAGAAATGTGTATCTATATCCATGGCGCACTGATAGCTTCTGTTTTCGTTATTGGAATAATGAGGTGAACTTGCTTTGCTTTTAATTCCAATTCTTCGTTTCTAATTTGAATTTCCGTTTGGAAACCATAGATCGTTTGCGTTCTATATAGTGTGCATGCGAGCCTCACAAAAACTCTACAATTCAATGTTTAACGGCGTGATTTCAACAACGATGCGATTTTTCGATACGAATCCAGCGGGACGAATCTTGAATCGATTTTCAAAAGATATTGGGTGAGTTCAATACTTATTGTAAGACAAATATCACTTATCTCTTATCAGATAGTCGAAAAAAATTTTATCGAACACCACGCATGGTGGGAGACTTTTCGCGGTTTTTCGCGTATTTTGCATAACTGATAAGAATCAAGCAATATCTGTCTTCAGCAAAGTTATAGGAGATTTTCAATACTATAATTTTGCCGAAGACACCATTCCGTTGTCTCTTATCAGTAACGCTAAAAACCGCAAAAAGCGCGAGACGTTTCTTATCATTTTTCGCGTAGCTGATGAGGGATGTCGTGATGGTACCTTCGGTAAAGTTGTAAAGCGATAAGAGTACTATAACTTTGCTGAAGAAACCAAATCATTATCTTTTATCACAGTCCAATTTCCATACAAAATTCATTTGGAGCGCTGTCTAGGGGGATTTATCTCTCGCGAATGCATTTGTATTTCAGAACAAAAATTCGAATGCTTTCGAATGCTTACGAATGCGCCGTACCATAGTGCGAATGTTTACGAATGCATTCGCAGTTTGGTACTAAAATACGAATGTTTACGGATGTCTGCGGATGTTTACCAACGTGCCTAATGACATTTCAATTTGTTGACTGTTCATGTTCACACTAGTAAAAGTGGTAAATAATATTTTTCCATTCTCATATTGTGTTTTAAAATTATGGAATTGGAAGAAAGAATTCAAAAAATATTTTCTACTCGATATTGTCAGAGTTTTGAGTGAATATAAAATCTTTCCTTTCATACATAACTCTTGAAACCATAATTTATGAATAGAGTTGAATCTTACGTGTCGATTCATGTATTCGCAATGCTGCCATACAAAATGTACGTAAACATTCGCGCCACATTCGTGTCGAATTCGCGTAACGTCCATATATTTTACGTATGTTTGCGAATGTTTCCAAATAGTCATTAGCCCCTAGAGCGCTGTACGCTCCAAAAGAAAATAAATAAAATAACTGAGAAAATAATTCTGACAAAAGTAGCAATAAAATTGACAAAATTGAAAAATAAATCCGACAAAATGGATGAAAATGACACTTTTTGCAATAAATTTGACAATATCAAGCACCAAAAAAATGAATTAACGTCAAATTTATTGCAAAAAATGTCAATTTTATATCCATTTTGTCAAAATTATTTTCTCAATCTGGCAATTTCACTGAACGTAATGTTAATTTTATTGACTGTTTTGTTACATTTCATTTCGATTTGTTGTCAAGTTTGTTGAATTTTTTTGTCAATTTTATTGCCGTTTTGTCATTTTTATTAATGAATTTGTAAATTTTAAGGGAGGTTTTGTATTTAACCTATCTATTTCAAACAGAACGATTGACGAATGGCTTCCAAAAGCAATACTTGATGGTACCCAATCGATTTTAACATTGTCTGGATCGATTGTGATCACAGCGATGGTCAGTCCATATTTTCTGATTCCAGTTCTTGTGATGGGATTGATTTTCATTTACATTCGAAAAGTGTATTTGAAAACATCGAAAAATATCAAGCGAATCGAAGGAATTGGTCAGTGACACATGTCTCACATGAATACCAAATCATAACATGTTCATTAATTTCTAGCGAAATCACCGGCATTTACGCACTTATCGGCAACTTTAAGTGGACTATCAACCGTGCGAGCATTTAATGCCGAAAAGTTATTGCAAAATGAATTTGATCATCATCAAGATACGCACTCAGCTTGCTGGTACATGTTTGTAGCGACGAGCTCAGCGTTTGGTTTAATTCTGGACATTATGTGTTGGACCATGATTGTATGTATTATTGCGTTCTATCTACTGATTGATACCGGCGCTTCAAGCGAAATGGTCGGTTTGGCGTTGACTCAAGTGCTAACACTAACTGGAATGTTGCAATGGGGTAACAAAATGATATATTTCGTTGAAAATAAAATCGCATTCCTTATGCAAAGTGATTTCATTATTTATTCAATTGGACAGGTGTACGTCAAAGTGCGGAAGTAAGCAATTTGATGACGTCAGTTGAACGAGTGCTCGAGTATCGTGATTTGGAACCGGAGAAACAACCAGAAAAACCACAAGAAGTTTCCGAAAATTGGCCAAAAGAAGGAAGTATTGAGTTCCGAAATGTGATTTATAAATATTTTGAAGGTGCCGATCCAGTACTACGAGACCTATCGTTTGTAATCAAACCAAAGGAGAAAATAGGTAGATAATTTTTGAATTTGTCCTTCTGTAGTTCTTAAAATACGTTTCAATTGCATCAAATGGCATCCTAATTCTTGAAAAGGTATTGTCGGTCGAACGGGAGCAGGCAAAAGTTCGCTCATTGGTGCCATTTTCCGCTTGGCTTGCATCGACGGACAAATCTTGATCGATGGAATCGACACCGCCAACCTTCGATTGAGAGATTTGCGAAAACGAGTTGCTATCATTCCACAAGATCCAGTGCTGTTCTCGGGCACTTTAAGAAGGTATCATTAAATGAAAACAGATTTTCTCAAAGAAAATTAGTATCTCTTAATGAAATGTTTAATGCGATTGCAGAAATTTGGATCCATTCGAAGAGTATCCCGATGCTGAAATTTGGCATGCCTTAGAAAAGGTTGAGCTAAAAGAGGCAGCAACAGAACCATCGGGATTACAATCACCGGTAATGGCGCGTGGTGCCAATTATTCCATAGGACAAAGACAATTACTCTGCTTGGCTCGGGCCATTCTACGGAAAAATCGAATCCTCGTACTAGACGAAGCAACTGCCAACGTAGACCCACAGTACGTTCAACAGTTTAATAACTTTGACTCTCCACAATTTTATTTTCTACGGTTCTAAATGTGTTTGCTTTGTAACTCTTTTGCAGAACCGATCTACTTATTCAACAAACAATTCGAGAGAAATTCGCCGAATGCACCGTTTTGACCGTTGCCCATCGTTTGCACACAATCATCGATTCAGATCGTGTTTTAGTAATGGACGCTGGTCAAGCGGCCGAGTTCGACAATCCATATACTTTGCTGCAGAACACACTGGGCATCTTCCATGGCATGGTTGAGGCTTTGGGTACATCAGAATTCAGTCGATTGTCGCGAATTGCGCAGGAAAAGTTTGATTCCATACATAAAACGGAATGAATTTGTAATTCGTATAGAAAATATCAGGGATTTAAATGTATTCATTTAGTTAATTCTGTTGCAATTGAGAGAATTATAATATATTGACATTTGTATTATAATGCATTGATAGTGAGTATGTAATTATAACAAAAATTGTCGCATGAATCTGTAAATTTTTAACATGTGTCACTAAAACTATTTTAACATGAAAAAACTGTGTTTCGTTTCAATAAATTCGATACACATGCCTTACATTGATATTTCCAAATGGGCTATTTTTAGCTCATGAATGATAACAGAATATTGAAGTACTTGTAATTTTGCTACGGTCTCCTACACTATAAACATAACTTATGACATGTATCTGACACGCTGTAGCCATTGTGACTTCGATGTTAGTTCACAAATGTTTGAATCTAAGCTAAAGGAAACTCAGAGGTTTGAGCCTTCGCTAAGCCGTGCACTATGGTGAACAAGCCGAGTATTTGTCGGTGTTTTGAAGTTCTGTTTTTATGTTTAAGGTGAACCGAAGATATGAACGAATCTGTCGGATAGAAGTAGTGCTTGTTCTCTTCTACGAAATCCCTTTTTAAAACGTCTATCTTCTTGAATATGCTTAAATTTGAGGAATACATCAACTATTTCTAATACGCATGACATTTTTACTGGAAGGAATACAATTAAGTTTTGTCCTTTCAACGACGCTTCTAGTTCCATTTCATTGGAATAAATTCAATTTATCATAAGAAAGAATGAAACTTTGATTCATAAGTTTATTTTGTTGAAATTTCCGTGCGACTGCAAGTAACAATTACGTTATTAAATTTCTTTTAACCTAGGTAGTTAAAATCTTCGCCAATTTTACTCAAACTATTTTGGTTGAAATTGACAGAATTTCAATTTAAAACAATCGGTTACCTTGGTTAGAAGCAATAAAATGTATCCAATTGGGTGAGCACTTTTAAAGGTAGTTATTGATAAAATCCAGGAAATGTTTTTTTAAAAAGTAATTCCAAAAATCAGTCAATCATTATCGGTTTTTTGTTCGATGCAACCGATTTATTATGGTTATTTTTATGGTTTCACATTTTGATTACATTCAGAAATGAGATACCTTCTAAAAATTTAAAATTTTGATGTGCAATCGATAAAAGGAAATCGTTTATTGAACTCATTTGCCCATTGGCGATAGAAATTGCGTTACTTTGTTGCAGCGTTCATTTCTGTGAAAAAAAGTCTCCGATTGGATTGGTGTTCGTTTCATTAGCTGCTTTTATTTCGTTACAAAACTCCCAGAATTTCTCGTAAATGATGAAATTACACTATTTCTTTGTCGAAGCCCCTCACTTCGTTTTCTTTTGCGCGCTATTTTACACGATATTCCATAGTCAAAATAAAAACACTCTGAACAAGCTTAACAAGCGGCGAGAAGAAAGGAAACAAGGAAAGGTAAAACTTGAACGAAAAGAAAAAATGCTGGCGTTTGATAGTTTGGTGTACTAATCGAAATGCCAACGGCATTAGCGAGCTTCGAACACCTATTTTTGATGCGACACTTTCGAAGAAGTCTTGTGGAAAAATCCGAACGAATAAGATGGCAACTTTATTTATTTCACTTTGTAGAGCAGATATGATTCGAAAAAATAGATGTCTAAGTTGGAATGACTTCGGTGTGGTGTTGCGGTGAAAGCGAGCGAGAACAAGAAAGATGTAACACACCAAATGCACCGTCAAAAGTGAATACACAAAAGTGCAAAGCGCTGAAAAACGAATTGCAGTAAAAGAAGCAGGGAAAGAAGAAATACCATCGACTTGCGAATGATAAGAAAACATAGTGAAAATATAGCGCTTTTATACAAACTTATGTGTTCATGGGTGCCGAGTTCTTCCCGTTGTATTCGCTTAATGCTCAATAGAGAAAAAAAGCAGCAAAAGACTAAGAAAAGCGAACGGTTCGAAAAATGATCTATAACATTGTGTATGTTCCAATGCGACACATTCGCAGACATTTTCTTTTGTTGCACTCTCCCGGCGACGCGCGAGCGAGTGAGAGCGACAGAGCAACGCAGTAGATGAATTGAGAATTTCCAACTAAAAAGCACATTCGATTTATCTCAATGCTCCGAAATTCCTATGAGAACATGCGAACCATCGCAATGCGAGAGAAGCTATTTCGGTGCTTCGCCGATATCGATGATGATACTTTATTGCACTACCAAAATGGATTTCTTTTCCCATCGACTTTGTCCTGGTGCGCTTCATCGTTCACAGCAGACAACCGTAGTAGCACCACCACCACACCAACAACAACTTGCTGTGCAAAAATCAATTCTTTGCTTCTTTCCTGTTGCAGATACTGCGGCGAGAACGGAATAAAATTGCAGGAGGGCAACATGAATGAGATAAGAAGAAACAAAGCACCCAACACAAGAATTTCCAAATTGAATGATATCAATAATAGTTTCCTGTATTACAACATAAAAGTTATTCTGTGCGAACGATGAGTACAGCGAAAAAAAGAATGTCGCACACCGAAAAATTGTCCAACCACGTTCTATAATATATTGTCGTTTATAGACGCATAGTGCTTCGATTAGTTGCCTGTATGTGCTTTCGCTTGTCCTTTTTCTCCTTCTCTTTCTCTCTCAATCTTTGGCTTTTCCTCCTTCCCACCTCATTGCTTTTCACAATATACCTTTTTCATATAACACCGTATATGAATATCTAATTTATGGCTACAGCAATCGTCGACATTTTCATAAAGTTTGCAAGTGTATAAAAAAAAACCCGAAATGTGTTACTGGAGCTGAAAACTCGACAGTTTTCAACTTTGGCGTTCGATCACGCCAGCCATAATACTTACGTCACTTTTACATATCACCAGCGAATGACTTTTTTATTCTTTATTGCGTTCGTTTGTTGTTTTTCATGTAGTTTTGCGAAATGCGCACACATTTTTCTCTGCTTGTTCGGTTTTCGCATGACGAAAATCTGCAACGAAAACATAACAGGAAGAACAACAACTACCGCAAACGGATGAACAAGACAGCGAAGCTGAATGTTTGTAAACAGTGAACAGCCAAAATGTGAATGGTTGAAATTGCAAAAGCTTATGTGTATGATATAGCCATTATTTTGGCGCCGATTTTTGAGCAAATCAAATTCGCGTACAAACTATGCATAAAATGGCTTGATGAGCAATGTGTAGGAGAAGTTTACAGTCAAAAAATGTGGAAATATACAAAAAATAGAAAGGGAAAAAGAAGCGCGAGCTCTCGAAACACTTTATTCTCCGGCAAATAATTTCGTCTGTAAAGCGACTACGCAATGCTCGACACTAAAAAATCTCTCAAGCAAATGCCAGTGTCTCCGATTTCTTTCTTTTCCTCTTGTTGTGTTCATCGAGCGGGCGTGAGCAGCGTACATCATCCATTCTTAACCCAGAAAATGTGAAAAGTTTTGCGTTAGTTTCTGTCAAATTATCCCAATGAAGTGCTTTGTTTGCCCCCCCCCCCGCTCTCTCTCTCTCTCTCTCTCTCTCTCTCATTCACTTCGCTGTATTTGCGCACGAGATTTTTGCACTCGCTTCGCGCATTTGTTTGCCTCGGTGCAGAAATGTATCGGAATATGCCACAGTTCTATGTTAACTTAACCAGTTCAAACAAACAGAAAATATATGCGAAAAAAATAAAGAAAATTGAATATTTTTCCTGAAATTGAAGAAGAGAAAGAAAAGGGCGCTTGAAATAGTCGGAAACTTGGAATGATATGAGGTTTTTGTGTGCTGTGTCGTTCTCGTCGACGGTTCTTCAAAGTCGCATACGCGCTTCTGTTTCAAACCATTGCATATATTATTTCGGGTGGCAAGCGAAATTTATGTATTTTCAGCTGGTAAATCAAATAAACATTCAAAATACTGTGATATATATTCAAAGCATTCTGAGCGCAATGCTGCTGCTGCTGCTGTTGTTGTTGTTGTTGTTGTTGTTTTTGTTTTATTCATCGATACATTTGCTGGGTTAGTTTTTTGCTCGAACATCAAATCATGATTTTCAGCGTAGCTTTTTCTCCAAACTTCTCTCTCTCACACACACTCTCTCTTCCTTTCCATCTGGCTCAAACTTCAAGTAAACGAAGAAGAATTCCATGTTGATCGGGTATATACTGCAAAAGAAAACCGTTCGCACACTCAACGAAAAAAAAAACCAACGGAACAAAACATATTTCCAAATTGCACTGATTTTATTTTTGCTACTCGTTTGATAGTTAAATGACATCCAAAGTTCAAACAGTAAATAAATTTTCGTCGGTTTGTTGCAGACGAAAAATGTCAAAGCTATTTACGTGCTGTATTGGCTCAATTCAATTTCATTCGCAAGTCGAGAGTCAATCAAGAAATTTTTGCGTATAATACGAAAAAAGCAAATGGAACGGGCTGAAAAATAGCATTGCACACGTTTGCAAATGAACAAATTGTTTATGGAAATTCAACTCAACTCGACTCGACTCGGTCGTTAATTGAGTGCTCTGAAACAATGATAACGGTGCATTGTTTACAAAGTGGGATGATCGGAAAGTATTTATGATATTTTCAGTGGAAAATCATTTACATCCAATTATGAACGAATCAATAGAACACACAGAAAACATTTACGTCTGCTGATTAATTTATTGAATCGAATTCTCCCGTTCGCATAGGAAAAAATGGATTAATTATTTGTAAATGCATGCAAATGCACGATTAATTTGCATTTTCACTCGAATTCTCTTTTCGTAATTGGGATTTCGATGTCTGTACAATTCATTGCCTTTCACGAATAGTTTGGCTGTTATTTGGCATTCAATGGCAGTTTTTCCAACTCGTTTATCCGCAATTTTTTTTTCCGTTCAACGAAAAGCTGAAACATTATTTCTCGCTTTTCTGCCACTCAAGCACTTGGATTTGGAGTGTTAACGGCTGCCAACAGATTTTCCAATAAATTATTGTGCAAATGGAATTTGGAGCAACATAACCACCCTCGTCCTCCCGAAAAAAAGAGCAAGAAAAAATCTCGCGGAAATCGAGATTTTGCTTAAAATGGAAATTGATTTTTGAGTATTCGCTTTCGTGTTGCACCATTGCA